CTTTGCTTGAGGAAGAACACAGCTAGTAAGCAGGTTGATGACATCTTGAATCTTAGAAGAACATTTCTCAACATGCTTGATCTTCTAAATTTGAGGAAGAACAGGGGACTGTCTGCTGAAACATTCTTTGAAGCTTGCCAGTTCCTGCCTTAGAGGAGGCTCCAGCCTGTGATTAAACACCTCTATTTCCTTTCTGTCTTTCAAATGTTCGCTGATCATTCTGCCTCAGCTGAAGATATTTAAATGTCTAGAAAAGCATCTGGAAGGCCAAGCAAACAAAGACACTGTCTTAAAATGTTGTATGTATTACTACAACACCATTTAGATCCCCCCAGGTATTTAAGTAAGCAAAAGCTTTGTGTTTTATCACATTATGAACATTTCCTCTTAAGATTTTGGCATCACATAAATGTTAGCAAATTTCCTACAATATCAGACCTGATATGCATTCTTGCTGAGCAGAAAAGGCCTGATAGGATCTTTAGAAAAGTCATCTTTGATATGTATAACAGGTGGGGGAAACCTCTTGCTTCCCAAAAATTTATTTGCAAAAACATGTTAGTGAGCTGAAACCTGATTTGGAGGACTAATGACAGCTGTGTGGGTTCTCTTGATAGCCCCTGATATATGAAGCTATTAGAAATTTTAGGAAAGCTTTGATCTGGACCCAAAGGCCAGTATAAATGCATACTGTTATGATAATCCTGGCAGTTGTTTTTCACAAGTCAAAATGGATGAAAACAAGTTATCATGGAATGGAAGCCTGCACTAATCCATGAGAAGGTTAGAACCATTACAGATCTGTTCCATGATGCTTTTAATCTTCACAGGCTGTTACAAGAATGTTCTCTAGCTTGTAGTTACTAACTTCTGCTATTCCTTTCTGCAAATCAGCGTTTGATTTGGGGTCATTGTTACCATTTCCAGTTTGCAGCGGTGAGGGAAGAAAAATGTACTTTTTTCTTACAGTATCTATGGAGTAGCACAACGATTAAATTAGAACGTTTGACCTCCAAAATTTAGTTTCCCCTTAGCAGTCCTTAGAAACTGCTTCAAAACTGAAGTGCACTTTGTTCTTCATTAACAGCAGTAACACAAAACAAAGCCAGTCCTACTCTAGTGTAAATAAACAAAAAAAAAAAAGCACCATTTTAGCTTACAGTAGGTTTGGCTTGGGTATGAGCTTGCCCTCTACTAGGTGAATAGTGTACTACCTGAGCACTGTAGCTAAACAGAGATGCACTTGCTCAGGCTGGGAGGGGAGGAAGAATCAGTCCAATAGAGATGCTGTCTTTTAAAAAGGGAAGTGGCACACACCATGTAACTGAAGTAGGTGAATGTGACTTTTCAATTTAAGTATTTGCCTAATTACAGCAAAATAAAAATCCAAGCAAAGAAAATCTTGAAGCCCAAACCAACCTCTTTTATGAAAAATCTTTCCTGATTAGAGCAGCTCTGAAGTATATATAACATCACATTGGTGAGTGAAGGAAATTGAGGAAATTCTATTAAAATTTTCTTCCACGTATGTAAAGTGAACGAATTTGTATCATTGCAAGTTCTAAGATCGAGTGGAGGTACTTTATATGATTTTATAAAATTGTTAGTATGTAATTTAGCATGCATGATGCTTTTCTGAGTTATCTTCCTCTTTCCATGGACCTAAATTTGTGGAATCATAAATCTGTGGACACATTGGTACTCGCTGTGATAGACAAAAGGGTAAAAATCTACATCTGTCTGCAATTACTCTTGTCCCCTGACAAAACCTCTTTCTGTTTTGTCTTGATAAAGTGGGAGAGAGCAAGGTGCTTATTCCAAATACATGGTCCAAGGAAAAAGCGTGTTCTGTTTTATAGCCAGGGAAGTTTATAACATATTAAATTGAGATTTGACAGCTCTATCAGCTTGTTGCCTAGGAAGGCAAGAATTGTGTCTTAAAGGAATGTCCACATCTAAGAGCCTGCAGGAAAGTTTGCAAGTTGAGGTGGTATAACCTCTCTGTGAGAATATTGATCTTTCTTGTAGAAGGTCTCTAGCTAACAGGTTGGCTGTTAACTGCTCACAAAGGCCACAGGAGCAACAGAAGCTCAGATCCTGGTATTGAAACTGCTTCTCCTTTAAGCCCCAGCCTGTTACACATCTGCCACAGTAAATGGTTCTTTGCAGCAGTAGTGTTCTGGTCCTCTTGTTGTTTGGAGGGAGTTCTGGGTTTGGTTGTTCTGTTTTGTTTGGTTCAGGTTTGTTTGGTTTGGTTTCTTGTCAGTATGTTTGCTGGCAGTATATTTGCATAGCCTACAGAACTAGTTTTGTAACTCACTCAAAATAGACAGTGTCACCCTTTCCAACTGATGGTGGCTGCTCCTTTTTGCTCCAGTGTCCCTTCTACCCTCCAGGAGTAATTAAAATTTAGCAGTGCTGCAAGCACAGGCTTATAGTAGCTAAGAGGATTGCTGCATTCTTTGTGGTGATGTGTTTTCTGTAGATCAAGGTCTTGATGCAGATCAAGATAAAACTTCAGCTGCACACAGGCAGAGGCTGCTGGTAATCACTTCTGAGCTTGTGATCTCAGTAGAGCCATCTTGGCTAGCAAACTGCTTGTGTCTTTCTCTCTGCTGGTTGCTTTTTTCAAGCAAAGTCCCTGTTTAGTAAAACGAACCTACCTTTTTGTAAGCGTCCCAGGGACGCCCACTAATGAAAATCTGATTGTATAGGTGGAGCACATGACTAACTGCTTATGAGATTTCCATCTCTGGATTCTTTAGTGTCTATAGCCTAGAGATCCTCCCAATAATAGTTACAGACTCTAAAAATGAGAATTGTCAGCCTGTAATTGTTTCCTAAAGGTCTCAACTTCCCCCAGTTAGAATTTAACGAGTAGAAAAAACTGTTCAACTTGTTTTCAAACATGATATGACTGTGGTGTGCTATCTGTGCTAGCAACATGATGACCTGTGACCAGAAATACAGAAGTATTTGCAGATTCCCTTAGCAGATGACCATTTATGACTCAAAGGAGGATGTAATTGAAACCATATTTCTGCAATTTTGGTTTTCTCTCTCATCTTATGATCACAGAAAATCTGATTCCTTCTGTTCTTGTTGTGTGGCAGAGCTGAAATGCTGCCTCACAGTCATTCCTAGTGCAACGATCTGATGTTTGTTGTTACACATTTCCCTTAATTTCCTTGTTATTGTGAACTCGCAGAAAGTTTGAGCAGGAGTTAGCTATCTCAGCAGTGACAGTACTGGCCTGGCTGAGACATTTTTTAGGTTTTTCTTCTGAAGTCTTTCTGTGGAGCATCTAACACTCTTGCCTTAACACGAAAATACAGTACCTTAGAATGTCAGCCAAGTCCTGCGCTTGAATTTGTGCGGTGTCCCATTTCCTGATGTTGCTTCTAGTTGCATGACTTCCTTACAAAAACATTCAGGAGTTCAAAACTTCATATACAACAGAAAATATTTTACCTGAAGGCACTTGTTTAGCAATAAATGAGAACTTCAGCTGATGTGTATCAGCTGCATTTTAAACATGTTTCTGAAATTCTGAACATCTTCTGAAATGCTGGGCTACTCAAGGCCCTTTCTCAGAAATCTGATGAATAGTAGTTTCAGTTCGTTGCTTCCCAGTATCTTCTCAATGTTTATATTCTGTCATGTGACAATAGGTAACTATTTTTATTTTTTTATAAGTTAAGCAAGGTTAATCCCCCCTATCATTCCCCCACCTGGCTTCTGAAATATATTCTAAGTAGTACATTACAGTACTTATTAGGCTTTTATTTGGATTCATTCAGAAGTGATCTGTTTGGCCATTCTCAGTGGTGAGACTGGTGGCCAGGAAGGAAAAGGTGGCAGGTATTTAAGGTACAGATGCCACGGCGTTCTGGTGCCAAGCTGTATAAACTCTTCCATGAAAGGTAGGGTAGTAGTCATTAAAGCAGACCTGTTTCTGAAAAAAAAAAAAAAAGTCACTAGATGCTGTTGAAAATGTTAGTTGGCCCTAAAGATCTTTGGAGAGGCTGAGGAGTGTTCACTCACAGAAGGCAGCACCAAGACTTGTTGCTGCTATGTGCTACTGTATGGTTTATTTCTGAAGTTTCTCCCTCTGGGTGTTGCCATGTGGGCATGGTAACTGACCTATGAGTAATTGAAGGGCTGGAATACTATTCCTCTCTTAGGAGTTGTCTTTTTTGTACATTCTAAAAACCTTGTTGTCAGCTATCACATACATATCAACAAAGTTTTGTTTTACAAAGGTGGCAAATGTTTCTCATTGACCTTTTGCCTTAAATCCATTAGATTGAATTGTTAGATTTAACAGTGACTGATCTTGACTTGAGTAAGAGATAAATTTAAGATTTTTGTGTACTTGAACAAATTAAATGGATAACCAAAGTTGTTACGTTCTGTTTCCTTAGGAATGAAAAAGGAAGTGTTTAAATATTTTGTTTATAAAATATGATTTGTGATACTATAAATTAAAGACTTTATCTACATTTACGACTGGCAGCATTTGCACTTCTTCAGAAAACGTGCCTTTGTAGTCTGAATGCTTATCTTTCAAGTCAGCTCTGTTGCATTGCATAACTGTAGCACTCTAAATAACATTTGAAGTGTTCCACTATTGAAAGTTATTTCTTAAAGGTTGAGGTTAAGAGGTGATATGTTTATTTTTAGTAACATTATTTTGTCTCTTATTGTCCATAGTATTATTTATGTTGAGTTACCAGTATGTAATTCTCAGTCTATCTTAATTCAGTAATAATTCCAGGCACACAATTTGTTTTGTGACATTTTCTGACAGTAATGTTGATGTGAGGTGTTAAGCATTTTTAGTTCTCAATGGCTTGCCATTAAAAAGAGTGTCATGCATTAACCCTGAAGTGAGGAAACTGCAGAGTACCTTGCTAGCTGCAGTGCTTCTTTGTCTAAATTAATTTTTCAGATCAGGGTTTTTATTACGATGAGTTTGGTATGATATGTTAGAGGGTTTTGTTTTGTTTTAACTCATAACGTTTCACAGCCATGTAATTAGGTAGCTTGTGCAGCAGAGAGTTGTTGCACTTGATCATAGGGGAGTAGAGATTGTTCATTATAAATTGTTCTCATGCAGGCCTTTAGATCAGTTTTTTTTGTATTATTGTAGTTGAAAAGGGCTTACCACACCCACTATGCAGTATTTGAAGCCATTTGTAGACCTAAATCCTCTTTTTCCTTGACTTTGTTTCTCAGACCACCAATTCTCCCTAGTACTTCTCCTTCAAAATCCATTCCAATCCCACAGCCCCTCCGACCAGCAGATGAAGATCATCGGAATCAATTTGGGCAACGCGACCGATCCTCTTCAGCTCCCAATGTTCACATCAATACAATCGAGCCAGTCAATATTGATGTAAGTATTAATAACGTTTGGATCAGGAATAGTAGATTTGATGTTTTCCTTACAAATATCAGTACGTTAAATTCATCATGCGTGCACATGAGTGCTGTGTTTCTAAGCTGGTGGTCTGTCAGAACCTCCATAGTGCCCATGCAAGACATTTTTGCCATTGAGAGCTGTAAAAATGCAAATAACCCATTCTCCAAAAGCAGAAGCTACCTTTTGACAGTCCTGTCTTCTCTTTGGTGAAGAAACATTCTATCACTAATGACCACTACTTTTTCTTTTTTTGTCATTAGTCCCAAGGCTGGTGCTGCTAGCTGTACCCCAGTGTTAAGAATATGAAAGCCACTAGCCACTCTTGCAAACCTTTATATATCTTAAGCATATTTCATTATATGCAAGACAGGGATTTTTTAGTATTTGTAATTCAAGTGATACTTCTGGTACCGAGGAAAGTTAAATTATTGCAATAAACTGAATTTGGATTTACTGAATGGTCCTTTGGATTTCAAGAGCTCAGTATATATTGTTCTGAACATTATTTTGGAATGCTTAGGAACTGCTACACTTAACTTGTTTTTCCATGTTTTTGAAATTTCTGAATGCTGAATCATAATAATAATAATGGTCTGTATAAGGCCAGCAAGGACCTTTCAAAACGATAGTCACAACAACGTCTTTTTAATTTTGCCAATATATACAGCTTGTATGTTACCCTAAAGTCTGCTCTTTAGAAATTAGTCATTTTTCAGGCGAGCAGTCTTGAAGTCTGCCTGGACACTGAGGCACAAAATCTGCTTTGCATACGAGCTGAGTGATCAGTGGAATGTTAGTTAAGTATTAAAGAGTGTTCCTGGGTAGGTATTTTTGTATGGTAAATGGCAGCTGAGAGGCAGGACCAGTGTGTTCAGCAGCAGGATGGGTGTATAAAGCAATAAAATAATGGTGTAACCAAAAGAGAAAAAAAAAAATAAGAAAAGCTTGATGATGAAAATAGGCATACAGAGGGAAATAGCTAGAATTTTCTACTTCTCTTTAGAAAAGCCTTAGTTTGCTTTTAGTCTGGATATTGTTGTAAAACATACTTTCAGTTCACAGTTATTGCAAGTGAAGGGAACCTTTCGCAGTTAGTGATTTCTGAGAAGAGCAGAGTGCCCCTGGCTATGCAAATGAGGTGCTTAGTTACAAGAAAAAATGAAGCAGACCTCATTTGTCTGGTGTACCTCAGCACAGGAAATTGGTGTCCCAGCTTCTGATATGACAGTTCAAATTATTTGTGCTGCAAACACTGTAACTAGAACGTTTGGTTCAATATTTCCTCGTGCATTTTGGCCAACTGCGTATTTAAATCAATACTTCCATGTCATCATCTATTTTGGGAGGAGGACGTTTCACTGACTGCTGAGAGATACTGCTTTAAAGCAACTAATCTTCAGAAGTTCAGTAGTTGTTATAAATGGTTCTTTGGAGTTGCAACTATAGTAAGCCAGGGTAGGAAACTACTTTTATTTCATGGACAACATAGGAAGTCATGGAGTCTCAATTTGATCAATCTCATTTGTTTCTGGAATGTAAATGATAACTAAATTAAACACTTTTTCTATTATTATTTTTTATTTATAGGAATTGATTAGAGACCAGGGTTTACGAGGAGAGGGAGGTAAGTAGTGTTCAACCTAGCTGCTGTGCTATATTTAATTACACAACTGCTCTGTCCCTTCCCATTGTTCTACTTCCTTGTACAAAACACAGGCACAAAGGAAATATGACTAGAACAAAAAATGAATTTGCGTTTGCTTGTCCATGAACTTAATATTTGTCTGACAAAGGTTTGAGCCATTTGCTGGTCATTCTGGGAGTGGGGGAGACAGAAGGAGAAAAAGTTTTGAAGTGGTATATATATAGTTTTCTTCAGTTTTAAAATTATCTTGCACTATCACTTTTTTTGCTCTTATACACACACTCATTCACTCACATGGCTGCATACAGATATGCTACAACTTCCCAACTCTCAGATTTTTATGCCTGTTGTTACCTTTCTAACCTTGGAGACAACAGGGGTTTTCATTGAAAACCATCAACACGGTAGACCCTCCATATGAACTGCTGCATCCTAAAGCAGCATGAAATCCTCCAATTCTTCTCCCCCTCTGCCCCTGCTGAAGATGCTGCTTTGCTGTACTGCTTGCCTGTGCTACTCTTGGAACCAGGTTATTAGGACCTTAAGTGAAAGCCAAGTCTTTTCATGTTTCCTTCAGTAACATGCAGCCCTAAATCACAATTATGTCAGAACTAGTGCTAAAATATTTCTTTTTCTTCATGTGATGCACGGGCCTGTTAATTCACTTCCTACCACTTGCTGTCAAGGTCCTGCGAGAGCTTCTTATGTGCTGTATGTATTTCTATTAATATAATCATAATACAGAAATAAAGAAATAATAAGTAGGGCAGGCATATGGCAGTTTTTCCAACTCCAAATCATTAACATAGTAATCTCCTACTAATTATATCATACCTCCACTGTAAGTGAAGTCGAAATTACCTTAGTACAGTCTCTCCTGATCTTGAGGGTTTTGTACTGTGGGCTATCGTAAATCTGGTAGTTGGTAGGATAGTACCTACCTTCTGCATTGTGTTTGATGGAGCTGTTTTTTTCTTATGCCAGCAATAGAATGCTTTTTAAAAAGAAGCTTCCTTTACTCCTGCCATCCTACTAATTTAAAGCTGCTAGGTTTAGCTATTTTTGTTTGTGATAATAGGTGTGGCACTCCACAGTTTTGCCCATTTTGTCCAGCATTTAAATGTTGTTGCTATCATGTTGGTTTTAACTTTTGGTCATAAACTGTCTGCTTGGCATCTGAAAACAATTGGCTATTCCCAGTCCTGAAACAGTGTTATTAGTAATTGATTAATTTATTTTTTTTCCCTTCAAAGTACCGAAGCAATCTATGAATAGGAGTCAAAGCATCCTAGTTATTTCCCATGACTTCTTTCATTTCTTCTATGTGTCTGTCTTTCTGTCTCTGCCTGCCCGTCTCTTTCTCTCTAACAGCCCCTTTGAACCAGCTGATGCGCTGTCTTCGGAAATACCAATCCCGGACTCCCAGTCCCCTCCTTCATTCTGTCCCCAGTGAAATAGTGTTTGATTTTGAGCCTGGCCCAGTGTTCAGAGGTAGTTGGGCTCTTCTTTCTTGTTTTCACCCAAACAAAATAAGTAAAACCACAGATGCTGTTTGTGCCTCACCCTCACACCGTGTGTATGTAAGTGTGTGAGTTTATCAAAACACCTCTGTTTTTTGCTTGGCCTGGCTGGAATGCTTTGAATGTGCTTTTCACACATACTCACTTTCACCTGTACACGCTTGAAAATTACTATATATAAAGTCTGACTTAAAGCTTCAAAAGCAAGGAATTTCATAGTTGATGGTTTTACATGGACCTTAACATCATTTCTCTAAATAAAGGTCCTTGGTTTGCACTGCTATGATTTTAAAGACAAAGTGATGTCCTCAACTTAGAATTTCCTTGACTGTTCAGTTTAAGTCAGTTCAGTGCTTTAAGAGTTTCCTATATTTAATATTCTTTGTTTTGGAAAGGAATGTAGGAAATCAAATGTGAATTACAAACATTTCCATTGATATCTTGTTAGGTCTCAAGCTTTTCAAGTGATGTGTCATGTCAACTTTCAAAAGATATTTCATTTTGAAAATGTGTTGCCAGTACCACACTGGGGCCCTCAATGGCTTAGACTATGGAGTTCTTATTTAGTTAGTAAATTTCCAGTGAAACAGTATTTGTTTGTGTCCTGTGCCATGTGAATAAGTAAGACTCTTCTATTTTCATGTCATTGACTCTGGGATAATTCAGGCCTAAAGCTGTCAATGGATCTGTTGTATTGCACAAATCCCAAAAAAACTCTGTGGGATTTTATATGCTGGAGAAACCAACTACTGAGTAATCGCATGAAATGTAAATATTTTTGTCTATACGTATATATGTAGAAATGGGTAGTTCAGTGCATGTAGTGTGGTTTTCAAATGCTACCGTCTTGGCTGTTTCAAAGACTCTTGTTTCAGAACATATCAAGGGCAGTTGACCTTATGAAATTGTAAAGTACTTCCAGAAGTCTTTGTAAGAAGAAAGGTGTTCCCAGCAAGGAAACTGGCTACAGAATGGAATACGTTACGTACAGCTTCAGAGTCCAAGCTAATGACTTAAGTCCAACATTATCTGAAGTATTCTACTCTAATAATTTGGAAAACAGGCCATCTTGTATTATCATTAACAGACCAACTATAATGTCCTACCATGTGCTGTAAGCATTTTTGGTGAAGGGTGAATATTGTCCTAGTGCTCCTATATCGTGGTGTTAAATTTCATTATATCATGGTATTGAATATTCTATATCATGGTATTAAACAGGAGAGTTGTCTCTAAAGAAAGCACACTCTAGTAGAGCTTTGATATTACAGAGAAAGTCTGTAGCCCAGTAAACTTTTGGAAAATTGCTTGTCTTCTGGGAGCCTCATACATTTAATTCCATGCATTTGTGATTTCAGACAGATAATAAATATATGACACTATGGTGACCATAACAGGCCACAGGTCACTGGCTTCCAGTTACTTGTAAATGTAGTTAGGATGCCCAGTATGTATCATCATTGTTGCTTTAGCATGTGTTAGCATGACAAAGTTTAGGGTGCTATGTCCCATTTTTTATGTTAGTATGTCATTATTTTGGGCTTCCACTTCTCAGCATATGTATTTTAGCTCAGTGAGGACAGGCAGTGATGGATATATATAGTCTGATAAATTTGCACACACTGAGTGACTGAACTCGAGCAACAGCTTTAAAAGTCAAAAAGTCAATTTTTGAACTCAAGTTGTCATTAGGAGACAATGTTTTGTAAGAAGGGGTTTTCTGAAGGAGTATGAGGAGGAGTGTGGTCTTCGACCACTTCCTAGAGCACAGATGAGAGAGCATTGGAATGCTGGAGATTTTGTACAATGACATACATTGTTTAGTGGAGCAGCATGAATTTAATTAACAGTTGACCTTATTTTATGTCCTTTGCATTAGGAGGGTCAGCATAACCTTGTTACGAATAATTATGGTGTATTTTAAAAAGCAGTGCTCTATTTGTAAAGAGCCACTGGGGCTCTGAAACACTGCTCTGTTAGTAACATTTTCCTGCATAGACTTGTTTAGATAACATGTAGGCTACAGATGTACTGTTCTTTCTGTATTTAATAGAATGTACTCCAAATATCTAACTAAAGTAATTGTTCTTTTTTAATCCTTTCTGCAGTCTAATACTTATTTTTAAATAAGAGCTCTCTGCTAAGAGGTAGCTTTAAAACAGCCAAATGGTTTTCAGGTGGCACTTGGAGACTCAACTAGAAAAAAATTTCAATTTTTTGCATTTAATCTATTCTGTTTACAAAGTACAGTATTTCAGCTATTTATTGGGTCCCTAAAAGGCTAGCTACAAGAAAACTGAGAGGTAGCTGCTGCTAACTAAAATGCTACTACTTTTCAAAAAAACTGGTGGAATTCAAAAATAGTTTGTTGGGTTTTTTTTCTTTTTAAAGGGACGTTGTCTTTCTAATAGTTCATCAACAAGAGACTGGGGACTATCTGGTACACAGAGATTTTTCCTCTAGGTCTGTCTCTTCCTGAAATCTAAGACTTGAGCACTTGAGCACAATATTAAGACAATATTCCTAGTATATGCTTGTTTCCTATTAACGTATACATTGATGTTTGGAGATACTGCATCTTAAGACGCAATTCTTGCACCTAATATCAATACATTCTTGTAAGCTGGCTTCTTACAGATAAAATTATCCTGTTTCTAAAATTTAGGTTCAACTGCGGGTTTGTCTGCAACGCCTCCCGCCTCTTTGCCTGGGTCACTCACCAATGTGAAAGCGCTACAGAAATCACCAGGACCCCAACGGGAAAGGAAATCATCCTCATCCTCAGAAGACAGAAATAGAATGGTAAGGAAAAGATCAGCTGTTTTCATTTGTAGCGTGGTAAATTTATAGTGTAGAAATACTACAAGACTGTGTTCCTCTCACTTGTCTTTCATTGGAACCTTCTGAATGATTTTAAAGATAAGCATGGTAATGATCCAGGACTTTAAACCAATAAATAATACTGACATTGTGGGACTGATATAAATAATTCAAATAATGTACTATACTCACTTTCACTGCATTGCATCTGTAGGTTTTGGTGTGCTTCATATTGCAATTCCTTTTTCCCTTCAAATAACAACTTCACTTTTCCTATGAGATTAGTGATTCTGAAATGTAATTATACCTAAAAATGTCTGCAGTCTTTTAAATTCAAAAAATATCATTCTAATTGCATAAGAATCGACAAATAAATGAGACACTTTTTTTGGTAAGAGTTTCTTAATGTTTACTGTTTTTAACACTGCTGGGAACCTGTGGCAGACATTTCATGCCAGGAAGTTATTTATTGTGCCTGTGTGCTATGGTTTTGTGGCTGACTTGAAGTCAAATGCAATAGCTGAAAAAGCAGGTTCTTTTGGGACTTAAATGATTTTTAGGACTTGAATGTTTCACAGACATTAATGGGCTTGCTTTCTTCCTTTTTATGTTTATGCATACCTATAAAGAAAACCCTTGGTCGGCGGGATTCAAGTGATGATTGGGAGATACCAGATGGACAGATCACAGTAGGACAAAGGATAGGATCTGGATCTTTTGGAACAGTCTACAAAGGAAAGTGGCATGGTATGTAGCTGTCATGGCAAACTTATTCTTAAGCAAGTAACATTGCCTGCTGGGGGCCACCCAGCTGCAAAGCAGCTTCTCAGAAAGCTCCTGGGGATTCTGGGGAACATGAAGTTGACCATGAGTCACTAGTGTCCCCATGCTGCAAAGATGGCTAATGATATCCTGGGCTTCATTAGGCAGCGCACTTCATTAGGCAACCACGAGGTTAAGGGAAGTGATCCTTCACCTCAGCACTGGTGAGGTCACACCTGGAGTCCTGGGTCCAGTTCTGGGCTCCTCAGTACAAGAGACATATGGACATATTGGGGCGAGTCCATTGAAGAGTCTTAAATTTAACTTTTAAATTAATAAGTAATGTGCTAAATACTTAATGTCAGAACTTGAAACTGCTTCGAAACTCAACTCTTGCATGCTTTTATGAATTACGTAATTGTTAGGGTAAAGATGAAACATAATTATTAGAAAAGCTGAAGTATCCATCTTGATGAATGAAGATTTCAAGTGTGTATTTGGAAAGCTTTGACTTGGCAAGGATTTCTCAGAGTAAAATAATAATAGTGTTTATACGTTTTACAGAGTATTTATTTATTATAATATTGTAGCTAGAATATAGGTAATCTCAGTATTTCTGATGTTCTATGTAGCATTTTCTCAATAGTAAAATATGTATCAATGGCACTTATTAAAAATTGCTGTTTTAAAGGTGACGTGGCAGTGAAAATGTTGAATGTTACAGCACCCACACCTCAGCAGTTACAGGCTTTCAAAAATGAAGTAGGAGTGCTCAGGTAAGAATATTTTTAGCAATGTAAAATATTGTGTGTAGATTTATGCTTCATTAATATTAGAATTTTAGATTTCCATTAGAACATACTGGTCTTACTCCTCCATGATGATACTTTAAGCAGAAAATATAACTTGCCATTTTTTAATATTTCTTTTATCCACTGCTAGTTCTTCCTTCCTCTGTGTGTGTTTTTCTACATCTATGTCATGAATATGTATTTATGTCCAAACACTCAGGATTGGTCTGTACTATTGTACTGCACCCAGGGCACAGTCATGCCTAAGTGTGAACTGTAAGCTTTTCTTTCCTCTCATCCACCTTTTGAGATTAAAGGAGAGCAAGACTAATGGTTGGGTTTTGAGCTAGAGCACTACCTATAGCATCCATTGTTTAATAGTTTCTGCTCAGCAGCATTGTCTTCTCTTCCAGGCTTTTTTTTTAGTATGTTTCTTGTGAAGTAACTTCTTTATTTCATTATGTCTACTGTCTGTAATTTTTCAGAGTATTTGTCTTGGATACAGTACTTAAAAGAGGATCCATCAATACCATACAATAGAATATCTATTAGGGAAGACCATTAGCATACAAGTACAGTCTTGAGTAGTCTCAAGGATAATTCTGTTTTAGGAAACCAAATAGAGAGAACAGGGTTCTTTGCCTCTGAAAAACTTATGTATTGAGCTGGGTGCCTGTGCTGGAGTAGCATCCCCAGTAAGCTACACAATGAAAAGTGGATAGTCAGCCTTCTCCCCCAGCAAATGTTAGTTCTGAAAATTCTAAGCCTATAGGTGTAGAAGCAGAAGCTTTCTGGGATATTCTACTTCGGATATCTCTGCATATTTTTGACATACCTGCTTGGAAGAACTTTATGAAATAAAAAATCTTCTGTTTCATACCTCGTCCAGATTTCTGCTGGGAGTCCCATACCCTGGAGTCCAGCCTTTCCCTGTTGATCATTTCAGCACATACAGTAAATAGGCACTTGTCCTACTCTTTAACCCAGACAAGCCAGATCTACCTGTAGTTGTGCCTTTACCATTAAGCTTCATCATTACTTTCACAGCTTTGAGGTAGGATTTGCCAGAAACTGCTTATTTTTTATTCACTCAGCAGTTACTCTCAGCCTCACTTGACAAATCCTTGAACTTGAAAAAGACACAGTCACTCAGAACTGCCCTAGTCTGCATTGCTGAGAGGACACAGGGGTTGACATTTTAGGCTCTCACACTAGTTTTTTAATACAAACATAAAAGAGATATGCCATGTGCAGCAGCAGCATAGATTTAAGAAGAAGCTACGACAGGTTTTAACCTTGGTTCATCAAGTTTCATCAACAGTGAGCTGACTGCCTTCAGGACTGAGCTGTGTTGGAAGCAGGTTGCCTCTGTTTTTTTCTGAGCCCCTGGGAAACCCAGGAAACACTTCAGAATTCTTAGGTGCTTCATGTCTGTAATATTTCATTGATATGTTTGAAGGTATGTAGTTCTTCATGTCCATTTGATGACAATCAAATGTGATTGGCTATTCCTGGACGGTGACAAGAACCTTTCAGATCTCATAGTGTATCAGCAGATTATTTCAGGCCTTGAATTTACTGGGCTATCTAATGAGATAATCCTTTCTGCGTTGTTTATTGTGAAGCTTTTCTGCCTGGAGTTGCTCCATCTTTGAAACAGGTTTGATTTAATCTGGCCAGATCTCTGTAGTGAACTCCAGTCTCTCCCAGTGCTGTTTGGAAACAAGTTCATATTGTAACCTTACTGAGGTACAGTCTCCATATGTGCTTCAATCCTTTCTTGTATGCTGGATCCATAGAGGGTACAAAATTCTTGTCAAATAAAGCACTAAGAAAAACTGAAGCCTTGTCAAGAAAGTATGTTGATGGTTTCTGAACAAAAGGATTGTTCTTCCTGGAAACCTCTGAGACTGGAATTTCATTTTGGATGCCCTCCTTATGGGCAGCAACATCTCCTAGCTGGACTGACATTACACAAAAGCAGACCTGCCTGCAAACCATTGCTGACCCATGGGGACCTAGTGGTACAGCATCTTCTGAGCAGTCCTATGCTGGATTAATTGCAAGAGAAAGAGGAAACAGTGCTTACTCCAGAATAGCTGTTTCATGTTCTTATAAGAAAAAAGGCTAATTGCAGGAGTTAGTTATTAAACCGAATCTAGCAACAGGTTATGTTTTCTTAGTAAAAGTTGAGATTTACCCAACAACTCCAGCTTAGAAATACATATTTAGACTGTGATGGACCTGCCTGGGTTTTTTCTGATTTCCTGATCTGCCTGATTCCCTTCTAATTTTATTTTTTTTTCAACAGGAAAACACGACATGTGAATATCCTGCTTTTCATGGGTTATTCAACAAAACCCCAGTTGGCTATTGTTACACAATGGTGTGAGGGGTCCAGCTTATATCACCATCTACACATAATTGAGACCAAATTTGAAATGATCAAGCTAATTGATATTGCACGGCAGACTGCACAAGGCATGGAGTAAGTATCACGGTACCTGTTTGCAAATGAATGTTGGGGCAATGTTTGTTTATCCCCTTCACACTCTGACTGACATTGGCAAATAAGGCCAACTATCTGCTCACTTTGCCAAGCTCAAGTTCCTGCCTTGGTGATCAAACCATTCGATGAAGTGTTCATTATT